TCTATCGATAGGATGAGCAACGCACCAGCCAACAGGTAAGTCTCCACTGGCCTCACACTACTTCCATCGATAGGATGAGCAAAATCGAATGAATCTCCCGCTAGAACATCAAAATATACACTACTATTGGCAGTGTATATTTCCATGTTATAGCGGTAGATTTGTTCGATTTTGATCATCCTATCGATGGAAGTACCCTCTCTCTCTCTCTCTCTCTCTCTCTCTCTCTCTCTCTCTCTCTCTCTCTTAGACACACACACACGTGTAGCAAGAGCGGGAGCGGGAGGAGGACCAGGGGCGGGAGGAGCAGCAGTAGGGGGAGTGGGAGAAGGACGATCCATCATCTGTTGTTGTTAAGCGGAGAGAGAGAGAGAGAGAGAGAGAGAGAGAGAGAGAGAGAGAGAGAGAGAGAGAGAGAGAGAGAGAGAGAGAGAGAGAGAGTTTGGAAGAGCTATTCGATTTTGCTCATCTTATCGATGGAAGTAGCGTGAGGCCAGCCACGTAGACTGTCGATGGGTGAGGGCGCGACCCGCAGGACGAGCAGGAGGAGGAACAAGAGGAAGGGGGGAAGAGCAGGAGTTGCAGCGGGAGGAGGAGGAAGAGCTGTCAGGGCAAGGAGGTCTCAATTGGGGGAAGTAGAGGTCGGGATGGAGAAATGGGATCGGAGAGGAAAGTCGGGATCGAGGGACGGAGGTGGGGATCGATGGGGGGAAGTGGGGGGAAGGAAGTCGGGATGGGGAGGGAAGTCACCTGACGGAGGTCGAGGGAGGGAGGTCGGAGGAGGGAGTCGAGATCGGGGGAGAGAGGTGGGGATCGGTGGAGGGAAGCCTGGATCGGGGGATAGGTCGGGATCGATGGAGGAAAGTCGAGATCGGGGGAGAGAGGTGGGCATCGATGGCGAGAGGTAGAGGAAGGGACGCTAGGATGGGGAAGGAAGTCGACGAAGGGAGGTCGGGGGAGGGAGGTCGGCGGAAGGAGGTCGGCAAAGGGAAGTCGGAGTAGGGACATTGGAGTAGAAACGCCGGAGAAGGGACGTCGGGGTTAGTGACGTGAGTCGGAATGAGAAGGGGGATCGGGGGAGGAGGGTCGGGGAATAGAGGTCGGCCGAGGGAAGTCGGGGCAGGGAAGTCGAGATGGGGAGGGAAGTCGGGGAAGGGAGGTTGGTGGAGGGAAGTCGGTGGAAAGAAGTCGGGGGAGGGAGGGGGACTGGGGACATGGGGGGGTTGAATCACAGGAAGGGAGGGGGAATAGGAGGTGTTGTGGCAGTATATATTTCCATCACAAAAAAAAAGAAGGAAAAAAAAGAAGTGTGGCGGTGTATATTTCCATGTTCTAGCGGGAGATCCAGATTCCTTCGATTTTGCTCATCCTATCGATGGAAGTGCCCTCTCTCTCTCTCTCTCTCTCTCTCTCTCTCTCTCTCTCACACACACACACACACACACACACACACACACGTGTAGCAAGAGCGGGAGAGGGAGGAGGACCAGGGGCGGAGGAGGAAGAGCGCGAGGAGCAGCAGGAGGGAGAGCGAAGAAGGACGATCCATCATTTGTTGTTGTTAAGCGGTGTGAAAGAGAGAGAGAGAGAGAGAGAGAGAGAGAGAGAGAGAGAGAGAGAGAGTATGACTCACATGTGCGCAGAGAGATAGAAAGAGGCTACTTTCATCGATAGGATGAGCAAAATTGGAATGAATCACACACACACATACATACACACTCACACAC